CACTTTAACATAAATGTCAATATTTAATGTTTGACTTCAACGCCAAAAGTTGATATTAGTTTTGGTCTCTAATGAAGAAAAACTGCTTTTTCTCTCTCACAACCAAATTCTTGTGAAAGCATTTGGGTATTGAGTATAATTGGAAAATAAAATTACATTAATTACTTTGTATCTAAAAAAGAAGTTTCTCTGCAATTAAATAATATCTTTATTTTGTGTAATTATGAAATTCATATACAAATCAATAGACAAATAAAAGACTGGAGGAATCGTTTCGACTATTCCTTGCCATTCGTTGTACTAATTAATCACTTGTACAGTATATGCAGTACAGTATAGTCTATGTATTCATTGGATTGCATTAATATTTACGAGTTTTCTAATTGAATATTCTGTAAAAATGAGTGCAAACTAAAGCTAATTAAACATTAAATTTATATCTATAGCTACAGATTAAAGTCGTGCATCGAAGCCCTAAAACAAACAGCAATTTATTTCAAAACAAAACTATTCTCCCGTTAGATATGCCTTAAAAGTCAATGAAATGACACTTTCATTACATCATTTACAGTCAATTCGCTTTAAAATTCATAATTAAAGTTCACAAACTTGTGATTTATTTTATGATTGTCTCATGCGATCGATAATAAAAGACTTTAAAATCTATTATATAATACACTAAACAGACATTCAATCAAAATTTTGACGCTTTTCAATTCAATTATAATAATTAAAACTAAAATTCATTTATTTTGCCAAAAGTTGCTATTTTGAAAATTTATTCCTAAAATAAATTCACAATACTTTTAATCAATTATAAACTCATTCATATGAAAGTTAATCTAAAGGTTTTCAAAGCGATCGTTCATTCATAAGCTAGAAATCAAACCGTGATATTATAGTATATTTCGCGAAACCTAAGCCGATGTAAGTTATAAAAAGTTAGTTTTGCGCTAATTTCACGTCTAATGAAACTGCGAATGTCTGTCAATGTGAACATATATTATAATTATTAGGTTTGAAGTATTGGTTCATTAATTTGTAGCTCTAAGTCATTGTCATTATTTGATAGAATAGAG